GCTATGACGGACCATACAAAGTCCTTCGCAAGATCATTAACCTCACCTACGAGATACAGCGAGTCGTCGACTAAGCGCACTCAATGCCACCACCATCCACTGTTGTGCACGAAGTCAGACTGAAGCCTTATGTGTCACCCAACACTCCCTTTTTGTGACAAGCGCCGGGGCGGCGCTTTAACGCCGCGGGGTAGTGCCACAAGGCAGTAGTGGGATTGGGGCATAAAGCGGTAGAGGGTCCCTGGCTGAAAGAAAAAGACTACGAAGTGGATAGAGACTGGTTCCAGCCCGCCAGTGCGCCAGGCATTGTCATTGCGTGTAATCGTTGTAAATATCTGTAAATATACGTCTTCTTGTAAGAATATGATGAAGGAATTACTGGAAGAGTCTCTAAAAGAGCTAACCAAGAACCAAGGAGATCAAATAAAGTGGAAGTTTATCGCCGAACAAGTGCCTTGGTGGGGAGGCTTCTAGGAAAGGATGATATGAAGCATGAAATCATCAATGAGGAAAGTCATCCGAAAGAGACTGCTAATGAGGGAAGAGATGGAAACAATAACCTCTGAAGTTGAAGCCATGCTAAACAGCAGGCCGTTGACTTGCGTATACAGTGAACCGGATGAAGCGCTACCTATTGTGCTGGCTGTCATAATAGGTGGAAAATAAAGACTTCCAGGCAATGACGAAGACCAACACGAAGTCAAAATTGTATAAATCTGGCGAAATTGGCAAAACATCATGAAAGAGTGGTGGAAAAAATGGAACAAGGAATACCTGAAGAAATTGAACAAGCTTACGCAAGTAAACAAGAGGAAACCGAGGAGACATCGTATTGCTTGGTTCACGCACTCCTAGATCACTTTGGAACCTGGCTAAAGTCATGGAAGTTTATTCGTGCGTCGACGGCAAGATACGTTCCTGCTTTTTGAAAACCAATGGGAAACTAATTCGGAGACTTGTACAACATATCTACCAACTTGAAGTTGTTTCCAATGAGGAGAGCAAAACTTCATGCGGGCCGGAAGCTATTGAAACTTGCTGAAGACTAGGAGAAGAAGAAGGAGACAAAGGGCACGGACGAGCGTGTGCGATAATAAGCGAATTAAAAAAATGAATATTCTTGCAGGCCACGCTTGTCTCACCTCGTTTCTGCGACAAGCCGAGTTATCAAGATTTGTTGCACGCTGCAATCACATTCTCTCTTTTCTCGTTCAGGAGAAAGCACTTAAAGCTAAACAGGGAGGGGTGCCAGGGGCCAAGAAATATGTCAGGCCCGTCTCGTGACCAAATACACTACTTTTTCAGTGTGACTGTGTGCGCTCGCGTGGATAAGTCCGGCCTCTTGCGGCCATCCCTGTAACGACCCAGCGCGTCTTGTTCAAATCAGCCAATGACTGATAGGTTGCCTCGAACGAGTGATTTTGAGCTTTTTCCGTCATTTTTGAAGAGAAGAGAAAGCACTTTTTGCAACTTCGATAATTTATTGTGAATTCCAGGGCGCTTGCTGCGCCTATAATTTTGGCACCCGGGTTCTCAGGAGCCTCTACTACCGATCGGCAGCAATTGCTGACAATGCTGAAAAGTGTTGCAGGACCCCTGTAACTGGTCCCTGTAACTATAAAATCAGGGTCTTTTGAGCCAACACTTATAGCGTGGTAAACTGGATAAATTGTCACCACTTAAGGTGCTTTAATCGCTTAGACTTGTGTACACGAGTGTCAACAGTTGCATTGTCAAACCAGTGTCCTCATGCTCACAGCCATCATGGCAGGTACGAAAGATATTTTTTGTAATAAAATGCTTCCACATAAAAAAGGTACAAAAGGTTTGTTCAACATGTGGATTGAATCCAAGACATCATAGTAACAAGCTCAGCTATTACAGTCTTATGCTATCTGGCAAATACAGATGGTGGCAAATACAGATTTTTGTGGGTAATTACTGACTACAGTTGAACACGGATATATCAAACTCGAACAGGATTGTGAATTAGTTCGATATATGAAAGATTCGATATAAAAAAAAATAGAGGCCCCGAGAGCTTACCTGTAGTGGATCGTCACCTACAATAGGCGCATTAAAGCATGACAACTAATGCCACACACACGCTGCAACACAATGATTTATCTGGGCGAAAAACATCGCTAATCTTGACCTGCTTCATCATTTTTGAAATGTTGACGCTAGTCTAGATCTTATCAAGGCTGTCCAGCTGTGACAGCTCGGTTCCCTCCATGTGGCCGATACAATGGCGTATGATGCGAAACACTGCCGTCACTTCATCGACGGAGTATGCGCTTGTAGCTAGCGCCTCGTCCGGACGATCCTCGTCGTCGCATGAGCTGTCGGCCTGGATATTGCAGTCCGCTTCCACGAAGCCGTCCCCAGACACTTCGTGTAGAACTGCTGCCGGGAAGCGGGACGACAATTCACCAAACACGCCATCTATGCGCTTGTCGTCGTCGTCTTCACCTGTTTCCACAAGTTCCACCGTCTCGAAGCTTGCCTTGCGGAAGCAGTTGACCACTGTGTCCGTCTTCACGCTTTGCCAGGCACTGAAAATCTCCCCGGGAGAAAACTTCGAGGAGATTTCCGGCCACTCCTTCGTCATCCACTGCTGGGTGTCCTTGCTGCTGACAACTTCGCTTTCGCCAGAATTGATTTTGCCAAGGATGTTGTAGCGTTGCTTCAATCGGGGAAGCCACCCGCGGTTGTCGGCGAAGTTGTTTCACCGAGTGCAGCGGCAACCCATTTGGCCTTGGTGCTCAGCATCAGGCTATCCACCGAATTGTGCTTCACACGCACTTCTAAAAACCAGGCATAGAGTGTCTTTACTGCATTCCTGTGGGAAGAAGCGCGCACATGACAGGCTCCCGACGTTCGCTGCTCCGTCGCCTTTGCCGTGATATCTGCATTGTTTTTCAACAAGGTACACAGAGTGCACCGTGGTGTCCCGAAGTCGTCCACGATGGTCTAACATTTTTTAAACATGCTGAATAGCCTTCAACTTCATCGCAAAGTCTAGGGTCTTGCGCTTCTTGACGCTGGCCATAGCTACACGAGAAGTCGACAATTCAAGGAGTCCGCAGTGGCTATGCACACCATGCACGCAAAAGAGAAATGTCGCACATACGGTGTTACACAGGGGATGCGAAAGCCACCAGCAAAAGGCGTGAGCTGTGGTTGGCTAATCTAAATTCGTAAAACAGCAATAAAAAATAAAAGAAACGGCGAAAGGAGGAGGACGGCGGCTCCTTCGTGCCTGCTCTCCGAGCCGATGCGTACACAGAGACGACGGAACAGTATGATGACATTATTTTTGCATCAGCAACTGAAATATGGAGTGCTCCTAAGATCTCTGGTGTCATGAGGTTTGCAAGTAATCGAAATATTTCTAGCTCTTCACAAGAGCCACAAAATCATTATTCATGTCCTTAAATGTAAATGCTACTTGCTTCTCCTTCAGGATGTAAATTTAGCTGCTCGGGATTGCTCCAAAGTGGAAAACTTTGCTGCTACAAAATAGAAAATTTTGCTACTGCAAAGTGCTCTAAAATGCAAATTTTTCTGCTCTGGAAATTGCTCCAAATCAGCATCACTGTAAATAGCACGCGACCACTAACAAAACGCAACCAAGGCCGATTAGTGCCAAGCCTGCCAATTGGCATGTTGTCCTGAAACTTTGTCAAAGACATGAAAATCTGGTGTCGAAAAGATCGCACTCAAGCACTGAACCAAGAATAGTGTATGTGATAGAATGTTCATGTTCACGGCCGGAAGGTCAGTGAATACGAAAACCCGCCAAGCTTACGTAAGACGGCGCATGGCCGGAAAGGCCAAAGCTCACATGATGAAACCTTAGGTTCTGTATTTACGGACAAATAGCAAAAACAATATCTGTAGCAAGCTTGATAATGATGACGCTTTTTCTGACGGGAAACTGCTAAGTGCAGTAGATAAAAACGGGATCGCACATGCTCTAGCTATTGAGCCCCGCGAACGGAGCCACACTAGCGACGCGTACACTGTAACCATGTCGGCGCCGTTGCTAATCCGTCGCTTTCGACGAGCCTGTGCAGCATGCTGGGATCTTTTTTTTTTTCTTTTTCTTCCCTCCACCCTTTGTTCGTTCATTTTTTCCCTTCATCCTCCGTAACAACTTCGTTGCTCGCTTCCCAGCGGCAGACCCAGCAAGCCTCATTTCAGATGCGCACTGCCTGCCGCGTTTGTCAAAAATATTTCCCGGCAAATGCATTATAACCGGCCTTATATCTTGAGGGACTGCAAAATAAGCGGCCTAGGGTTTTATGGGAGGCTGAACGGGAGTAGAAAAAGACAGCATTGTGACCGGTTCTGCATAATAAGTGGTTACGTTATAAGTGGTATTCACTATATGTTAACAATATTCTGACTTACAAATTTGCTTTGTTACTTGATGTAGCTCCCCAATGAACCTTTAGGATGTGTGAGTAAAGAAAAGCTTATTTGTACTAAGAAATAGTGAATGTGTACATATTCTGCATGAGAATTTAAGCTTGAGCAAGTTGGTACAGATTCATCTTGATTTTAGCAGCGCACTGAAGGACGAGAATTAAGAAAAGAAAGTACACAAAACGGGCACTGTGTTGTGTACTTGCTAAAAACAAGATGTATGCATGTTTTGCTACATACAAGCTGCACGCTATTCCGTTTATTGAGGAGCAGTCCTGCACATCGTAGGAACACTTATGGTGTCATTGTGGCTCTCGCAAGGTATTCCTCAAGTATAGGGTAGTGGGGGGTTCTTTTCAAAACCACAAAGTCTCTGAATGTATCATGTAATTTGTCAGTCACAGCCTTTGTTAGTAGTTGTTGAGATAAATCTACAGAGAAGTCGTTGGCGGCATAGAATTCTTAAAATCAGATGTACTTGTGTTAGTGTAGTTGCAGGCTCAGTTTCACTGCACAGTCCCTGGTATGTGTGAAGTGGGTTATTGACACTTCTCGTTACTTGTGTGCAGTGATGCCAAACTGGAGGGAATTCGTGAGCCTGGGCCAAGCTTTCCTGCTGGTACTGTGAAGAATGCGTGCACTGTGGGCTTTCAAAGAAAATCAGGAGAGACGCTGATGCTGTCGGAGGTCGGCGGCAAGGACACGGAACTCGACTCTCTCGACGACTGCCAAGTGACCATTCAAGGCTGTCCGGCCACAATGTTTGCTCGCAGGCTCAGGAACTGCCACATCCGGTGTGGACCAGTGGCCAGCTCAGTGTTTGTAGAAGAGTGTGAGAGCTGCACATTTCTTGTTGCCTGTCATCAGCTACGCATACACGACAGCCTCAAGTGTGAATTTCAAGTGCACGTACAGACGCGCTCCATTATTGAGGACTCGAAAGAGCTCCTCTTCAGCAAGTATGACTTTGCCTATGACGGAGACGAGCAAGATTGGTGTGCATCACACCTGGACAGGACAGTCAACAACTGGGACAAGGTCGATGACTTCAACTGGCTTGTAGCCGATAAGCCTTCGCCCAACTGGAAGCTGTCAGAGGCATAATAGGGGGACATATGCTACAATAAATGCACACGTTGTTGTAAATGAGCTCATTGCAGTTTTCTGTAACTTGGAAAGCCATGGTGCAGCCTCATGTTGAATTTCAATGGTGGAGTCATGGTAAGTTTTTCTGTTCTTATTGGAGCAAGTGTGTTCCAATGGCAGAGTGAGGGTCTATAAAAGAGTCAGGAGTAGATTCAGAGCGAAATTTCTTCCATGGAGCAAGAAAAGTTGTACATTTGCCTGGTTGGGGGTGCCGCTGATGTTTTTGTGGTAATCGTGGACGTCGTGGAAGATCGAGATGGCAAATTGTGCGCCATTGCTAAGCCACCATAACTTTGCTTGCACTGCTCGATAGCGACAGCTCCTTGTCGGCCAAAATTCCCGCAAGAGTTCCTATCGAATAGTGACAGCAACGTTGAAACTACTGCGTACGAGTGGGAGTTGGACAGACGAATGGAATAACTCTATGCAAAGTACTTTGGGCAGTCTCGTCACTCGAAATATAAACCTTCCACTTCCACTTTGCCCCAGTGGCACATGTTTTGTTCAAGTCGCACATCTGAAGGCGTAGCTCCACGCCAGAGTCATGTGCTCCCTCACACACTTTGTTGACTGCTCTGACTCTGCCATTTGAACTCAACATCGGTGAGATTGCATGAGGATATACCATAAAGTGGGTCAGCATTCTGCAGCGGGGCATGTCAATGTCTGGCTTACAGGGTTGCAGTTAATGTTATGAATTTTGTGGGTTCAGTGCACACGCGTACATGTGCGAATGAACGAAAGGCACTTTTTTTTCAAGGGGCTCATTTATATGCTAGACACTGGCCAATAAATCAAACAAACAATGAAGTCGGGAAAATCGCAGGGGACGTAAAAGCAATACTTGCGCAAAAATATTGGTCTGGCATTTTTGCTTCGATATGTTGATAGAGGTCTATTAGTCATAACACAGCACATCACTCGCTGTGACATAGTAATACTTCATCTCTTTTTTACCGACCATTCTCACTTTTGGTTAATAGAGCTCTAAAAACGACCAACCACTAGGTAAAAACTAATGCCATTTAGCATATGAAAAAGCACCCAGAACTGTGACACACTGCCTGCATTGTCTGTTCATGTTCTTTCGCCTGCTACATCAGCTGACCGATGTCATGGCCATCATTGTCATCTGGAGGCTACTACTCTCTTCAGTCTTCCATGCGTTTGCCACAGGCATGAACTCACAAGGAGCTGTCAAGTAGTAGCCTAGTGGTGCAAGTGTAGCAAAAAGGTAATGGTATCTAGGTGTCATAATTTGGCTGTGCCAGCTCAGAGATCGGCTGCCGTGGTGGTGTTGCGGAAGTAAGGTTTCACCCTCTGGTCACCTGTCAGTGTCACAAGGCATCGTTGGGTGGCACATGCAAGCTTTGTGGGGGTGCTGACACCCCCTGTAAAGTTGTTTGCGCCGCGTGGCGCACGTGTCTCGCACAGAAGCCCTATTTCGGGGGTGACAACAGCCGGGCGGTAGATGGCGTGTTCGCGTTGAGTACCACTGTTGGTAGAGTGGTAGCGCCGGCAGTGACTCCTGGCGGAAGGCAGGCCTTCGTGGTGGGCGAGAGTTGAGCGAGTATCTTCTGCGCGTGGCGGTTGCCGCGAACGGTTGTCTCTAGCGTGGGTCCTCAGTGCGTGGCACCGCGGGCTGCGACGCCGGGGGCCCACAACGTTACTAGATACTTTTGAAAAGTATCTAGTAACGTTGGGGGGCCCACGTGGTAAGTCGAGCGTTGGCGACGCCGCCTTGGGTGTGTTAGTGTGTTTGTCGTGTTATTGTGTAACGATGTCCTAGCGTACTACATAACGAGTTATGTATCAATTCGGCGGACGATATCGTCGTTATAAATTAGATAAATAAATGTGCATTGTTTGGTTTGTACCGACCGTGTTTGCTGCATCCGTTTACTCCAAGAGTAAACCATTTTCACCATTTCGAGATCCCACAGCTTCAAATTTCTTGTAAATAACCTTCCAGGCTATATTCGTTTGGTTATGTGAGCATGCTAATGGGAACCAATTTCACAGGCTATATTAGCTGTGAGAGTTTGCGTCTGTACAGCTTTGATTCTTGTCTTTGACTGCCATCATTACTTTCAGCACTGCAGGAGGAAGGCCTCTCCCTAAGATCTGTAGTTGGCCCTAGCTGGTTTCATTTGTCCCTGTGAACTCAATTTTATGTACTAATTATGACAAATAGAAATAAGTCACACTTGCAGGGTGCATTAACTGTGTGGCCCTTGCCTCTCCTGGCAAGCTGTGAGAACCACACATACTGTACGAAACTGGGGAGCATGAAACCAACTAATAGGCTTATTTCTTTGCCCGTTTTCTACCCTGGAATAAATTAAGGCTTATGAGATCTAGATTCCGATGGGTCACAACTATGTCTGAAACAGGACATCAAACGTAGCTTGCTGGGCGAGATAATTTGTGCTATTAAGAAGAGAAAACCAGTGAAAGACAAGAAGACAGCGGGGAGAAAACAATAACAGGACTATAGGTGTCCGACTTGAACACATGAACCAACAGCACAATCATAAATAGGCTATCAGAGGCGTTTCACAGTTTCACACCCAACACTACAATGCCAAGAAGCGGGTCAATGTGTTACAAACAGCACATATTGATGGAACACCAAAATATCGATACCACATGTGCCTGTCACCTAGCGATGCAAATTCTTTATTCGTAAAGAAAACTGAAGAAAAAGTTTAACGAATTCTTGAATCTGTGAGGAAAATTGGGTGTTCACTCACACATGACCCTTTGCCCTGTATTGTTTTATTCTGAAAGAGGGCTGGGCAGAGATACCCGGAAAAATATTCCCGAATACAGATATCGAAATACATGGTTTGGAAGCCTAAAATACAAATACTGAGATACATTTGTAATTTACATAACGGGATGTTTCAGAAATACCTTTGAAAAAAGTGTTTTGGAATACAGATACAGCAATGCAAATGCTGAAATACTTTTCTTTACGTCGGGTATAGTTATACTACATACAGACACTTGCTATGTGCAGCATAATATTGTCACGGCCGCTGGATGAAAGAGCACACGGGTACGACCAACACCACCTAGAAAACTCAAGGCCCCCACACGGCGCCGTGACGTCACGCAAGTAGGATCGTTCTGGAAGTTGGCTTCACCTCACCCGTTCGCTCCGCAAAGCGGCAGGTTGCGACAAAAGTAAAATTCGCTCGCGTTACGCACAGAAGCTAACTAGAATGCCGCGTCCACAATTACGCACGCAGCTTGAGCGGGAAAAATCGCTACAGATGGTAGCCTCGCTTCTTAAGGAGGCATTCTGCTAATTTGATTATACATGAGTTTTCTAAATGATTGGAAGAGACTTACCTAAATTTCAATCGTCAATGCAGATATCAGGTAATAACTTTCAACCCTGCTGTGGTTCCAATAATACATTTAATACATCCGGATGTTACTTCCTAGAGTTTCAAAAGCTCTAACAGGTATGCTGGAAAAATGGCAAAATTTGACGTTACATGAAAACAAAGTGTCAGCAGCTGAAAGTGGAAGAAACATGTTCGTGTTCAAAGAGAAAATGACTCATTTCTGCTCAGTAGTAATATTTGTTTATTATATGCAGCATAACAGTCAGCATAAAAGTGCATGTGTGGCTCAGCGTCTGGAAGTTGCTGTAGTAACTTTTCTGGAAATGCACTTTATGCTTTGGCACGAATTGCTGCTTCAAGCATGCGGAACACATATGTGCACAATTTCCGTACAGAACAGAAAGAACAAGATTGACAAGATTGGCAGCCTTCTCACAAATGGTAGGATGCAGATCATTTCACTTGACAACGATAAATAAAAAAGCAGTTCATTTACAAAGAATACTGTTGAAACAAAAGTGCATAAGGACACTTCAATTTTTAACAGTTTCAAGTTTTCGCTTTGCCTTTGTTGCAGGCAACTTGTCATTTGATGTTTTTGCCTTTGTGGCAGACATCTTGTCGTTAGCCGTTTTGCACAAGTTGTTTAGGAGGGTGTTTGCTGCTGCACTTAAAATGTAATGCATGACCTGTTGAGGAGCATGCCCATCAACACAAACATCCAGGTCATCATTATCACTGAGGATGTCATACACAAGGGCCACTAACACTTCTTTCTGTTTAGGAAGAGCAAAGAACTGAGTTGCAAAGCGTGGACTCCTAAGCTTATCGAGCACTATTTCCATGGTAAGCACAGCATTTATAACAAGTTCACGTGGGAACTTCAGCCCACCCCTTGTCATGCTCATAATGAGGACATTTTTAGCAGTGTCTATCTCTGCAACATCCATTACTAGGTTTTCTTTGCATGATTGGCACAACAGTTTCTTTAGAGCTGCGTGAGCACAGTAACCTGCAACATATGTCACAGCGGGCAGCCTTGTCACTTTGTTCTCAATATCACTGTCATTAACTGTGATGTCAAACTGGCTTAGCAGTGAGCTGGCACTAATGACAGGAATATCGCACACCATGTCAACGTCTGGCAGCTCGAGCACTTTCTGTAACCGCAGCTTTGTCTCAGACTCATATATCTGTCTAATTGACACATGATAGTTGGCCCCAGACAACTGACGGTAACGACCAAAGCGATCCTCGAGACAATCTGTTTGAAACTTGCCTAGCAAAACATATTGCATACCAAGCTCTTTGAGGCAGTAAATAGTAATCTCGTGGAGCGCGTGAGTTGTATGACAGAAAGCTGAGTGCGTTTCCCTCGTCAAATGTCCTGCATCGTGCTTCAAACTTTCCCAGTAGTCTAGCCACTGCATTGTTTTCTCCAAATGCTGTAACTGGAGGCAAGATGTTGAGGTTATAGGCTTTTGCAGGTCATCTGAAAGCCTCTGGCCCTTTCGTGGTGTCTTTACATTAACAATATTCCACCATGTTAGCAGCGTGTTTATGTACAAAGCTGTACTGTCAGCGTGCTGAAGGTTGCTATTGTGAAGTGCTGCCACAGTTGATGAATTAAAGATTCTCAATGCCAAC